GCAGCGCCCCCCCGGGGCGAGCGCTGGCCGCTCGCACCCACAGGGCAGCAGCGAGGGGGCCATGGGCCGGGAGCCCTGGGCTAGCACTTGCCTCTGGACACAGCCCCGGCGCTGGTTTCCCAGGGAGGGGAGTGAGCGCAGGGTCCTGGCTGCTGGAGCAGTTGTGCAACCCTTCTAGTGAGCATAAATGCCAAATTCCTTAAAAAACAAAAAAAAAATGGTGCCAGCGGGGGAAAGGGGCTGCTTGAGCTTTTTTTACCGCTGCTTTTCGATTCTGCTGTTTATCTGCTTCTTCCCGCTTTGTGGGACGGAGCCACCTGCCATCACCCCACCTTCACCGCTCCCGACGAAGCCCCTGCGCCTCGCGCTCCTCTGCCCAAACCGTCCCGTTTTCGGGCACGGGCGCTCCCCCCCTCCTTTGAAGTAACGTGGATTTCCTTGTGACGGCTCAGCCGTTCCAGCGCCCTGCACTGGCCTTTCCCAAACTCTCCAAGCCGGGCGATCGCGGTGCGGAACAGGAGCACAAGGGCACGGGACGGGACACTGCACTGCTCAGCCACCGCGTGTCACCTGGTGCTTTGGGGTTTTGGAAACTCCCAGCGACGTGGAAGCGAGGGGTCGGTGCTTTGGTGGGATGAGGGCTCCCATCCTCTTCCTCACGGGCAGGAGACAAATATCCCAAATCCCCCAGGAGTTGTCTTCATTTCAAGACAAGAGGGTGAGCCTGTCCCTAGGTGCTTGCTGGTGGGGTGGGGACGATGACAACTGCTGAGTGTCTTGAAAAGTGTCACCACACCCCAAAATGTGGCTTTGGGCTTCCTCAGCAGTGCCTACAGCTCTCCCTTCCCCAGCGAACCTCAGCCCTCTCCTTTTTGCTGAACGCTCGCGCAGTTACAGACCTCAATTATCCCCCCAACCCATCCAGCAGAAAACCGAGCCTGATGGCGATACTCGACCACGCAGAGACACCGCTGCACGAGCACCCGACTTGGGAACACGTTAGGAACGGGCCGTCTGCGTCACCTGGCCCCGTGCATCCCACCACGGAGCGGTCAGAGATGAACGGCAGCAGCGGGAGGTGCGGGGAGAGCCGAGCATCGCTCCAGGGAGGCGGCAGCACCGGAGGCACCGGCGTGGGAAAAGCCTCTCGTCAGCTACTGCGTCCCCAGTGGGTAACACGAAACACGGGAACAGTCCGGGGGGGGGCCCAGCAAGTCCCCAGCGATGAGGAAAGAAAAAAGGAACTCATGCGATAAAACCAGAGGAGCAGGAAAGGGTCGACGCCGTTTTGGTTGCTGGCTCTGTCGCTGCCCGTGAAGATCCCAACGCTGAGGGGTCTCTCGCAGTGGCCTCGCTAGCGGAGATTTAATACCGGGGTGTTGCGTTTAAAGGAAGCAACAGGAAAAAGAGAGAGGAGAGAGAAGTGAGACTGAAAAAGCTGCAGGACAGACCCTCTCCAGGCTGGGTGGCAGCAGGAGAGCCCCGGGGCTGCCCCCAGCCCCTCTGAGCAGCTCCGGCCCACTGAGGCTGTCGCCAGGGGACGAACGGAAGAGGAATATTGCTGTCAAAGCCTTCTCCCCTGGTTACAACAGAGCATCAGGCTGCTGGGGCTTCGTATGCTCCTGGTGGGTTTTTTTGCAGGGAAGGAAGCCGTGTCCCCCCCGTCCTTTGCATGGGATGCTGCAGCCCGGAACACAGCCCTGAAGGAACCCGGGGATTTGCACCCGCGAGAGCTGCCAGAAGTCACTTAGAAACTGGGAAGTGACAAAAACACTGTCAAGCCCGTAACCAGGAAGGGAAGACTTAATTAACCTTCCTTCAAAACACCCGAAATCCCTCGCTGGAAGGGACTGAGGAGGTGAAAAAGCACTCCCCCCGTGCCGGGGGCTGTCACGGGGCAGCTCATGGCCCCATCTCCACAGCCCGGGTACTCCCTGCAGCATCTCTCCGCCAGCACTGGGTATCGTATCACCCCCTTTGCTCTAAGAGCTGTTGCAGAGGTGTAGCTCTAACTACGGAAGTAGCAAAAGAAAAAACCTTCAAAACAAACAAACAAACCAACCCCCAAACCCCACAAAAACAAAACCAAACCCTCACCACTGAGCAGATGCTTCAAACCTAGCCAGGCATCCTTCCTCGGAAAGCACAGCGCACCGAGCAGCCACAGGGCTCTCCTGGCCTCTCTCACAACCCATTTGCCTGCTCTCCGCCACCCTTCTAAATTTAAGAGAGCAGCTCCCAACTCCGGCCATACATTTGCTGCTCCCCCTGCACTATTTAAATCAGCGGCGACTGCCAGAGCTTCCAAGAAGCCGATTCCCTGAGGTCTCAGCCCGTAAATCCGAGCCAGCACCACAGCTGCTGCTTTTCCACATTAGAAGTTTCTCCAGCCTCAGCCCCCACTGCCAAGTTTACCGCTGCGACCAGGACACGGTCCCACGCTCCGAGCTCAGGAAAACAGCACGAGGGAGCTGGAGGCAGAGCTGGAGGCAGAGCTGGTTCACCTGCGGCACCGAAGAGAGCAACGTGATGGTACTTGGAGGAGAAGAGTGGGCTTGCGAGTCCCCAGCCCTTGGTTGAGCACAGGTATGGCTCAGGAACCAGCTGGCGTTCGGCATCTTGGAAAGGAAACATCAGACTGTAAATATTATTTAGTACATCCCTTCATGGGAAAGCATCCGGAAAGCCGATGGACAAACAAGCCAGAGGGACAGGATACAGTGCTTCAGTTGCTTCTCGCCTCAAGCCGCTGCAGGCAGCTGGAATTTGCCCAACAAGTTCGTAACACACACCTACGAGCGGACTCCAGTACCGTTAGATAGAACAAGACAAGAACATTCACCCCATTTTCTCCCAAAGGAATGCTTTATTGACAGGTTTCCTCACTATTTATCTGTATCAACAGTTCAATACCCAAGCTCCAGCAGTCCCCGTTTCACTGGCCCCGTTCCTCGCAGGGAGGCCAGTTTCAGTCAAACGAGGAGCACCAGTAAACGACACTCTACACTCCACCTACTCCCTAGTACATCTGCCTTCTAATATTTCATCCTGTGTCCCCAGGTCTGCAGAGGGAGGGGAGCAGGGGTGGGGGAAACGGCGATTAATCAGCAGATGAGTGTCAAAACTTGCTTCTCTGAAGAAGGGTCAGAGACAGTTGGCGGTAAACCACTAAAACTACCCAGATATGTACATAAGCAAGTCTAAAGACCTGAGTAAGTCCCACTTTGCCTCTAAGGCACAGAATTGCTCACTCTAGGTATTTCTACATGGAGGCACCTTGCCTAGAATAAGATCAGGCCTCTAGAAGAAAACCTCAGCCTTTTTCAGCTCCTGAGCAATGAAGCTGGACATCAAGAGAGCAAGACACCCAGCCCCTGGGGGAACTGGTTGAGCTCTGTGACTCTCCGCCAGTTTTTGTAAACCAAGATTAGAGTTGGGGCCTTCCAAAAAAAAAAAAACCCGTCCAGTCACAGTCAGATGTACCAGATGGAGGAGCCCACAGAGAGCAGAGCAGAGTCCCTCCACCGCGGTGCCCATATTGCTACAGACAGCTTTGGCCTTTTCAGTCTGGCCCTGTTGCTAGCAGCCTTCAGAAATTTTTCCTCCAAGAACGAAGGCATAAACTGAGAAGGGAGAAGCAAGTTTCATACACTCAGGAAATGGAGTGCACCACTGAATTTAACACAAGAACTGGCTTATAAGCATGCTGCTACTACTGCATGATGCAAAACTCCAGTGCTCAACATCCAGCTTTATAACCCTTGCGGTCTTCTCTATAGAAAAAAAGAAATCATAAACAAGTAAAGCGTAAGGTGATGTAAGGCTGGCAGTTCAGTTTCAGAGTCCAAGGGAGCGTTTCCCTAATATGATGCCAAAGCTTCTCTTTTTTTTTTTTTTTTAAGCTTTATTTCTTTAAAGTTCATTGCATTTAAAAATAAAGATTTTTAGTTTAGTTAAAGCTAGAGCATTAGTGTAACAACGAGGCAGCTGCTAAGTGAAGTTTCCCTTTTGGGAGCCCAGAAAAAAACCAACTGTTTACCCCATTTACCAGCCTACTCCAATGGGAGCCAGAGAAAACAGTAACAGGAGAAGCCTGGGAGCTCACGGAGAAGCTGCATGGCATGCCCCAAACCGAGAACGTAGCCAGAAGCTGAAGCTAAGATGCCCATGCACTTGGCTTCTCCGATAACTGCCCTCCTCACACTGCTCAGGGCGATGTATCTGTTCCAAGTAATGTCAGACAAGGGAAAACTGGTTTTGTCTTTACCACTGGCATTTCTGAGCTACTTTAAGGAAACTCCATCTTACATGCTCTCCCAAAAGGACAGCAGTGATACATTTAATCTACAAACTTTAGTGTAAAATATTATTTGTGTACAAAACTTTGCATTCTCTTTATTTGACTTAGATCCAGCAGCAGTGTCTATGAATGAATGATGGATCTCTCCAGACTGGCTCTCAGCCCCTTCTTGGATTCGCATGTTGTTGCTGTTGTGAAGGTTTGGGAGGGAGGGGGCTCGCTCTTACAGTTGTGCACAGCCGTGCAAAGCCACGTCGCGGGTCTAGAAAGGAGCGTTGTCTTGTGGAGGCTTGTCTCCAGCTCCCGAGGGGGAGTGGAGGCCGTCAGTGCTGTTTTCCCTGCTGCCCACCACTCGGGACTGAAAGGAGAGAAGAGAGTTAGGATAACAAGAAACCAGCACTGAGAGTATCAAGTCAATTCCCCTTTGTCAAGGTCACCTACTGTAGCAAAGACTTCACATATCTGAGAGGCCATCTGCCCGAATACTAGTCTACAAGAAAAACACTGCAGAAATTAAAGTTTCTGCATAAGGCTTCACACTATACATTTATAAGACAAAGCAGACTGTTACCTTTATGGTCCCAACTCTATCTTCAAATGACTTGAAGGTTGCAGAATTCCTTGAAAAATGAGAGGGAAAAAAAAATGCAAATAAAGACAAGTTAGTTCTTAACTAAATCAAATCACGCAGCGTGACTGGGCTCCCTGGCCTTTCCCATGCAGTGACAGCAACACCCAGAACACTTCCAGCTCCTGACAGCCTTTGGCACAAATCTCTCGGGCACACCAGACAAGAACACCACATACGAACGCTGAAGGAAAACATTAATACCACGTGCAATCCACTCAATTGCTCAAGCTAAAACATTGAGGGAAACAAGTCCTAGTTCCCTAGGGAATTACCGCACGATAAGTAGAGAAGAAACTAGCTCTTAAATTTAACACGGCTGCCAACTAAAAGCATGCTGTCTTAAATAATAGAAAAGAAAAGCTGAAAAGGGTTTAAAACAAAGGCTTCAGTTTCCCATATTGCATCCCGCGGGCAGGAAAGGGAAGGGCCACGTGCCTGTACCTATGGGCAGTTTTATTACTACAGGAGTGATCATTTTCATCATGAAATGCTCCTAAAAAACCCACAGTGTAATAAATTACTCAGAGGACTTCAAATTTCTAGCAGGAAACCCAGGTCAATTGTTGGACAACCCAACAAGCTGCTTTGCTTGCAAACGATTCCCGGGGAGTGCTCTGCACCCAGCGTTGGGACTGGGCAATTACTCATACAGAGCTGCTCTCCCCAGGCTAAGCTGCGGGAGCACTGGGAGCTGGGAGATGACTTGCTTCATCTCAGTTATTTTTGTTCCAAAGAATGGCTTTATATCTGCACCCATAAAATAACCTCTGTCGATCTGGAACGAGGATGAACAGAGAGAGGGCTTCTGTGTGCCTCATCCAGCCCCGGCAGTTTCTGCTGCAAGGAGATCACCACCTAATGCACCCCACGGGCACGTGAGAAGGGCACTGAGCTTCCACGCTGGAGACGGAGGGTTCAAGTTAGGACTCATCTCAGTACTAGCAACGGCCACGCCGTACATTGCGAGGAGGACTGTCATCCCTGCAAGCTCCAAATTTCAATCAGACTTCGGCACAGTTGCACCACTGCATTTAACACCTGTGTTGTTCTTGGACTAATAACCATAAAGAGAGATTGGGTAAAAAACCACCCTGAATTACTCAAACTGCAGGACGTGGTTACCCCATACTCCAAGTGGGGTCTGCTTAAGGAGGGAAACAGTTGTACAAGTCAGAACCAAAAACCCAGTAACAACAGAGTCAGCTGTACTACCCCACCAACCCCACTCAGGGGACACGGGTATTTGCGACATTACCTCATTGCTGGCATACTTATCGAGTGGCGAATGGAGTAACTGCTACTCGGAAGCATTCAGAATAAGGAGGAAAAAGTTAAATGACAATTTTAGACAGACACTGTGCAAAAGCAGCATCCCCCTAGTTCTACAGCACTTAACTGTCCACACACAGGCTGCCCTACACAACCGAAGCGGTAACAGCCACCCCGCTCTTC